TCAGAGGTCAACGATCTCTCGTAGAGCTAAAGCACCCGGGGGGTCGACGGTCTCTCTTAGAGGTAGAGTGACCTGGGAGGTTGATGGTCTCTCGTAGAGGTAGAGTGCCCATGGGGGATTCGACGGTCTTGCATCAGCGTGTAATACCATACTTTGCTCGTTATCTCAGGCGGTTATCTATGCCATCCAATATCAAAAGGTATTTATTTATGTTCTTAATTTTTTCCTCATCATATTATTATTTTTAACTTTTCATTAATCAAAAATTTATGTTCCTGATATGATTTTTGTCAAAATATATTACTAACGTGCTTTAAAATGATGGCCAAATTCTGAAGTCAAAAAATACAATGATCAAACGAGTTTCTCACTCTATCTTAAAGAAAATTTTGAAGAGAAATTATAATTAAAAAAAAGTTAATTTGAGAATAATAAGATGATGAAAAAAGTTTAAGTTATAAATGTAATAATACGTAAAGATTATAAACATTTCATGTAAATAAGACCCTCTTTGTCTATCATTATATTGGAAAAATGAGTTTTGAAATTAATAATTTTTTTTTGAGAATATGTGATCAAAAAGTAGGAAATATTTTAGATTTACGTGCAACATATTTTATTATGAGAATATATGGTTGAAAATGAGTTTGAAAAAAAAAAGTATTGAAATAATGTAGAAACACAGAGACTAAAATGCAGTGTTGTTATTAAAAACTAGTGTGCGCGTGTGTGTCTATATATATATATAATCAAGGGTAAATAGGAATCTTGTTCTTCACATGTTGAGGAGAATGGGTTAAAGACACGTATGTTTGGTTTAGTTAAAAATTTGATAAAATTTCAAATCAATTTCAACAATTAATTCCAATCATTGTTTTTATGAAATTCATCACTTTTCATTTCTCATCTCATTAATTTTTATTAAAATATATAATTTTTAGCAAAACCTACCAAAACAATGCTAAAAACAATTTCATATAAAAAAAACAACATATGATTTGAAAATCACAAGAGAAACTCTATAATCAAATTATAAATTCATTAAAATCTGTAACTTTTTCATCTCCCCCCTGTCTATAGCGAGTTAAGAAGTTTCTCGATTCAAACTTTAACATTTTTGCAACAGCGCATGCAACGTGGTCTTATTGTTGAGAAAGTATTATCTAGGGCTAACTTCGAATGACATCTTTAGCGAATATTCATCGTGTTCTCAACTTATTAGGGCAAATATAAATTCAAATACCAACATATACTTTCCTCCAATGAAAACCACATTGTGAAGATCATCACTTCCTTCCATTTTTATCCAATTTCTCAATTAAAAAATGTAAAATAATGAATGTACCCCATATTTAAATAAAAAAAAAAAGAAAAATAAAGAACAAATTGTAATCATACTCCCAATCTTTTTAAAAAAGTTCAAATGAGTCCAAATAAATTATTAAAATGGTAATTAGCACAAAACATCCATTTCTTTCAATATTATTGTGCAAAACATTCATATATTTTATTTTTGACATTTTCACCCTTATTTTTACATTTCATTACGGAAAATCATCGTTTTCATCCATTTTTATCCAATTTGTCAATAAAACAAATGTAAATTGACTAATATACCCTCTTATTTAAATAAAATGCGAAGAAAGAAAAGATTAAAGAACAAATTGTAATCATACTTCAATTTTTTTTTTAAAAGTACAAAGGGTCCAAATAAATTATTAAAATAGAAAAATATTGTTGAAAATTGTTTATTGTTCGTGGTGGAGGAGGAAAAGAGAAAGAGAATTGTTTTTACTTTTAATATTTTAATAATTTATTTGGAACTATTTGAATTTTTTTTTAAAAAAAGTTTGAAAGTATAATTGCAATTTGTTCTTTGTTTTTGTTTTGTTTTTATTTAAATATGAGAATATATTTGTCATTTTACATTTTTTTTATTGAAAAATTGGATAAAATAAATGAAAATGAAGATTTTCATAATTAAAGATGAAAATAAGGGTGAAAATGTCAAAAAAATAAAAGGTATAGACGTTTCTACACAACGATGTTGAAAGATAGGGACGTTTTGTGTTAATTACCCTTTTAATAATTTATTTGGACTCGTTTGCACTTTTTTAAAAAGTTCATGAGCATGATTGTATTTTGTTCTTTATTTTTCTTTTCTTTTTTTTTCCTTTATTTTAAATAGGAGGGTATGTATGTTATTTTACATTTTTTTATTGAGAACTTGAATAAAAATGGATGAAAATGATGATTTTCATTGTGAAAGATGATAATACTAAAAATTGAAAGGTAAGAATATTTTGCACAAAAATATTGAATGGTAAGAACGTTTTGCACTAATTAAAAATTCATCTTATTCCGTTCAAAAAAGTTACACGTTGTTGAATTTTTACGAGAATTTGTCAAACACCTCTATAATACAGAAATAAAAATCATTGGCTCTATAAACCAGAAAAAATGTAATGCATATCTAAATGAAAATAAAAGATTATTCGAGAGAGCCGTTATCTCCAAAAACATAAAATTGTAACATAAATTCTTCTTTTCTTTCTCTAAATAGACATAAAAAATATTTATTAAAATTATGTAATCTTTCAAAAAATGGATTAGCATCGATTTGAGACCTACTTTATGACTGGAATTAAACAACTATCCCACTAATACATAAAATTACCACACCTGCTCCCTGTCCCAACTTGGGGACAAGGTCAAGGATAGGGGCGCCACGCCTCCAATAAAGGGGGCGTCATGTGGTGCCGCCTATCACAAGCGCCTCTCCAATAGGGGGTGTCGTGTGGCGCCCCTATCCCCAGGCCGGAGCAAGGGGTTTTATTCTAAAATTACAACCTTGACTCATTCCCGAAAACAATAAAAGTCCGTAACGTTAACGATGTGGAAAAATTATGTTTTGTGCTGCTTGAATTTATTATTATTTTTTTCCATTTAAGTTTCATCTCTTTATCACTTAATGCTTATTATACATATATGCCTTCCCCATCTGTTCAAATAAATGATTGACTTGGTCCTTACTCCTTAGATAGTAAAATACAATGACCCATTAGAAAAATAATAAAATAACACTTTTAATTAGAAATAATTTTTTTAAACATCACAATACCGTTTAACAACGAAAACATCGTGAGTATATATTAAATTTTTATGTTAATTAATTAATTTTATTTTGTTCTAAAATGGTCATTTATTACGGTTTAATCATTTATAGATTGTTTGAGCCCCTTTTTGAGGGGAAAAAATCGGTTTGTTGTTTTTTTTGGGGGGGGGGGGGGGGGGGATTCACTTTTGAACAGTGTATTGATGAAAAATGTTAGGTCAAAGAATAAGGAAATTTTTTGAAATTACGTGTAATATTATTTTATTAAAGAATATGTGATTGAAATGATATCAAAATATTTAAAAATGAATTTTTTTCTAAAAAATGGAGCTCTAGTAAGGTCGAGTTAAAGAAGGGTAATATATGCATAACTTTGGTGGTGAAATTGACATTTAAAACGAAGTTCCATATTAACTATCAAATTTTATTTTATTTCATATTGAATTGATATGTACTTTATTCTCAACTTTGTGATCACAATTGTCATATTTTCACGTTGGATGCTACGTTAGAAAACACCACATTTTTTAACTAAGTCCTCGTTTGAACCCCATTTTTTAGAAAAAAATTCACTCTTAAACAATATTATGATGTCATTTCAATTACATTTTTCAATAAAATAATATTATATGTAATTTTAAAAATTTTCATTATTCTTTAACCATACATTTTCCATCAATACACTATTCATAATTTTTTTTTTTTCTTTTGGGGCTCAAACAATATATTTTGTCTAAATCACACAAAATTCCAAATTAGTGAATGAACGTTGCAGCCCGCAACCTGCAAATGCCTCGAAAGTCATCAACTTCTCTAACAATCAAACAACAATGCCTACGCATGAAAATATATTGTCGTAACCTCAATTCACACACCTGAAAAGGACATTTTAGCCGCTCGAAAATTGGAACCTTCTAATATTAAGAAAATCAAATAAATTACTCAATCTTCAAGAAATTACTAGGAAAAAGTCCATTTGGGGGGCGGGGCACATAGCTTTAGCCGAGAAGTTTTTGTTATTTAGAGCATATTTGGTACGACTTAAGTTCAATTAAAATTATTTTTTTGACCGTTATTTTACTATTTCAATCGTCATTTTTAAATTATTTTCTCATATATAGGACTCACTTTAACTCGATTAAAAAATCAATTAACAAAATCCTACCAAACAAGCAATTAGTTGCTGCTCTTTCATAACTTTTATTAATATTATTTTGGTTAAGATATTGTCACCAAATAAACGCTCCACTAGACCTTCAAAAAGGATTAACTTTTTTCTAATACACAAAATTGAATTAAATATAATTTAAACGATAAAACACACACACACACACACACACACACACATATATATATATATATTGATACACGTCGAATAGTTTAACAAACAATTCAATATACCGAATAGGTAATAGATGAATACTTCAAGCAACATTTAACGAGACAAATTCAGACTATTTAGAGATTTGGTAGGGATTATAATTCAAATCAATAATTAATTTTAACCATATATTTTGTGGGACTCAACTTTTCAACCATATATTACATCAATATTTATCAAAATCTATAAAAAAAAAATTAAAAAAAATCTAATTTTAAAAGCTTAGTCAAATATGTTTTAGAATCTTGATATTGAAAACGTGTACATCTAAAAGAGATTTGAAAAATGGTAAAGAAGAAAGAAAAATAAGCAAGCACACGCGTCTATATTTGACCTTCAAGGCATTGGTTATCTTAATAACCTTAAAGTATTCCGACCTTTAGACGGATGTGATGAACGCGAATTCCCAAATTATAAAAAATTTCCAACGCGGGGTGAGGCGGGGTGGGTGGCGGCTCTTCACCTGTTAAAATAGACGAAATGGTCAAAATAAAGAACAACAACAAAACCATTAATCTGACTTTGTGTGTGGATACTTGTAAAAATCTCTTTTAAACCTGGTTTATATAAATCAAACGTATGGTTCAGTTAGAGAAGAAAAAAGAGAGAAAACAAGAGGGATTCTATCTACTGTTTCATTGGAATGTCCTCTTGGTCTTGTTGTGAATCTTTCTGAACATACTATCAATGGCAGATCATCAAAGAATCCATCCAGTTCAGGACCCCGAGGCGGTAGCACCACAGACCCCCACTGCTCCGCTGGTGCCCCGAGGCTCTTCCCTGTCGGATAAAGGCGATCCCACGGAACAATATCCACCATTCCGCAGGACTATCCCGTATGCACCCTTAAAACCACCACCAAGGAGAAGTTGCTGGAGAAAGTGCTTTTGCTGGACCATATTCCTCCTCCTACTACTAATACTAATCCTTGGCATTTTGGCTGCAATCATATACTTCGTATTCCAACCAAAAATACCAAAATACTCAGTAGATGCCATGAGAATAACTGAATTCAATCTCGGCAACGATAACAGCCTTTCTGCGGCGTTTAACGTCAATATCACTGCAAGAAATCCTAACAAAAAGATAGGTATATACTATGAAGGTGGAAGCCATCTTAGTGTATGGTACACTGGAACAAAACTTTGTGAAGGTTCATTGCCAAAGTTTTACCAGGGCCACCGGAACACCACCTTGTTGAACCTTACCTTGACGGGACAGACACGGGATGCAAACGGATTACTTGAGTCGTTGCAGGCGCAACAGCAGACGGGAAATATTCCTTTGAGGCTTCGAGCCAAGGTTCCAGTGAGGCTGAAGCTTGGAAAGCTAAAACTGATGAAATGGAAGTTCTTGGTGAGATGCAGGCTGGCGGTAGACACTTTATCTACAGATAATGTAATTAGAATTAGAGAGAATAACTGCAAATTTAGATTTAGGCTTTAAATTTGATTTATTCTTCATGCTATGCCTCATCCAGCTTGCAGGATGTTATATTTTTCTTTTTTATTTCTATTATGTATTATGATCACATGTATTCTTGTTGCACTTGAAATAAGTGGAGGACTTCCTCTCCTCCATTCCATTACTGGTTATTGGTTATGATATCTGCTATAATAGATGATTGTTTAGTTTAATGTGTGTCTCAGACCCAATTCTTTCTACGATTCTTTTGTTTATAATCACCATTGAGATAGCTGTTCTGTTTTTCTTTCCTTTTCCCCTTCTCAGTTAATAACGTTGGCCGACTGCACCAAAATTGGCAGAACTAGGAAGACTCATCAATCATTTTCCTCTCTCGATGAGAAAATAAGTATAGGTCAAATTACTAAAACCCCGTTTGACAATCATGAAAATAAGTTTTCAGGAGAAAATAAGTTTTGAAATAGTAGATTTTTGGAAAATGTGCAGTTAAAAAGTAAGTAAAAGTTGTCGGTTTACATGCAAAATATTCTATTGTAAGAATATGTGGTTGAAAATGAGTTTGAGAAAATCGAGTTTTGTTTTAATGTTGACAAATAGGAGCTAAATTTAGACATGAAAAATGCAGGATCTACTATACTGTAAAGAATTGTTTCGATTTGTTAAAGGTGGTAAAGCCAAAATAATTTAATGATTAAAAATGTGAAATATTTCATATGAAAAACGCTGCATAATAAGACCATGAGTTGATTAGAGTATTTTTCATCGTATAGCTAAAGAAACTAAAATGTTATATGGAAAAACTTACAGACCATATCAAAAAGAACAGAGTCAGATACAAAGCTACAATCATAAGAAGACTAGTGAATTTGAAACGCATAGGCAGTATTATAGAGCACACTAGTGAGTTCTAGATCATAGTGAATCAGTTGTTAACTCTGAAGATTTTTTATTTTTCTGATGACTATGTGTGTCCGAATCAGCTTGCGTACATTTCGACTAATCCCAAACTCTGAAGATGAAATGCAAACACTTCCATTAAGAATCTCATAATAAGACTAGGAATTTCATCTTAATAGGTCACCCTTGTTAATTAAGAAGAGGAGCTCAAGCCATTATATATTAGTTTATATTTTGGTACTTAATTCACGCGGGATTTATTTCTTAACATATCCCTATAAGATGATGACTCATTTGAGAAGATTTCAATCTTGAAATTTGTGTGCTTGACTGAACTTCATAAGCTATCATATTATATTACGACTTGGAATTCCATGGAGTAACACATTATATGTTGGTTATTTATTTTATGCTAATATTCCTTTTAGATTGCTTATCCATTAAGGAGTATGCTACCGTCCAATTCTTCTAGTAAATTTTTGGATCATCTGGAAAGAGTTAATTTCAGGAGCTATATCTGAAGTTAAATAATAAGAGCCAAAAAAGAAACTCAGGAGAGAGAATAAAGGAATTTTTTTTTTTTTTTTCCAATGAAGTACATTTCATTATAATGAAGATTGTAATTGTACAACTTAGGCTACTTGGCAAACACAATAAAAACTCAATTAATATGATTGTACAGATTAATTGATCACAGAATGATGTCAGAAGAGAGAGGAGACCGGGTTCCATGCGTGTATAAAAAATTGACAATAAATTGCGAGCCCCACGCATTTGTATCTTGTATGCAGGGACGGACCCAGACCATTTGAACTGTGGGGTCAAAATTTTTTTTTTTTCGAACAACGTATCATAAAAAAGGGGGAATATCGGTTGTTTACTGTTCATATTCGATATGTGCACTTTGGGAAGAAATCGTTGGATTATATGATATATTTATGGACTAAATAATGGATATGGACCATGTGATATGGATATAGATTTAGAATTTGGACTTTTTGGGGCAGAAAATTAAGTTTTCAGCACAAAAAAAAAACAGAAAATTAAGTTTTCAGCACAAAAAAAAAAAATAAAAAAAAATCAGAAAACTGTGGGGTCATTTGACCCCACATGACCCCATGTGGGTCCGCCCGTGCTTGTATGTAAAACTTCTGTGAACCTTCATTCTGTGAATGAAGCACTGCTTATAAAAACTGTAACCAATGGCATAAAATCACTTACTTAACTGACCAATTGCTAGTGACAGCTTTTTCTTGAATGACACAGAACAGATAAAATGTGTCCTGTAGGAGCAACTTAAAACATTTCCATCCCCCCAATTTTTTTCCAGCAGTTAGCTTTAGGCACAGAAGTTTTTTTGACATCAAAATATATCTCCACGCTCTACTCAACAAAATTTTTCCAAGCTATCAGTAATCCTATTCAATACTCTAGTGGCTTATTCAAATTTCAAGCATTTTCTCATGCCTAAATCTGAGAATAACATTCTGATGGACTGCGCCAGTCCAGATACATATCAAAGACGCAAGAAGGGGGCAAGGGCAGAAAAGGGAATGCAGGAAGAGAGAAGGCCACATGCACAGTTACAGAATCTTTGGGGGAACAATCTAGAAGCAGAACAACATATAAATAAGGGGAATCGATTTCAGTGGAAGTGGGAGAAAAATTGGGTAGTTCCTTGGGAGAGAATTGGACCTCTCGAATGTCCATTTATCCTTTTATTTCTTTAAAGCATTATCATTGTATTCCATCAAGGAGATTTACATCATTGCTGTAATTCTCAGAGTCTATTCACCAGTGTTATCCTATTTACAGAAATACAATCTCACTTCACGTTTGGTTACTCTTGTTTCTGGTTTCTATATCTTCAAATTGCCTCTGTAGAGTTGGAAAAGCCATCCCTAGCAACAGGTTCCTATCACAATTGCAGCATATTTATGATAAATCAATTCCAAGGTGAGGGAAATATACTTCATGACTAAGATACCAAACCACTTCAAGTAGAGGCCATAAAGCTAAACTCAATACCTAAATCTTTGAACTTTATCTCAAAATACCTAAAGCCTTTAGATTACGAAAATGGTTTTTCATATACAAATAATGCCAACCATCTTACTGTATCAGGTTGTATGATTGAACTATTCCATCCTCGTGTATGTCCACTAACTTCAGAAGACTCTGCTGTTTAAATGTCTTTGAAGATTGTAGGATGAAATTGTTGGTCCTACAGATGAGAAGCACCATCAGATGAACGCCTTATTCCTTAGGCTACCCCCAAGAATTAACAAAAAGCACGTAAAAACAATTGTTCCATCTTTACAGGCAATAAAACCGGAGAGTCTATGAGCAACGAAAGATTATGAAATAAAGACAAAAATGCTCAGATACTACATACTCTTGCTTATCAGCTGGATTCTTTTCTTTTGCAGGCATGTCATGAAATAACTCCCTTGAAAATTTGAATTTCGAACTCTTCCAAAGCCCCGAACAACGCACCAAAACATCACAGCTTTTGACAGAAGTTCCAGCATGATAGCTGAATACTTGTCATCGTAAGTTATACAGAAGAGATCAAAAAAGTTAATGGTGTAAATAAACCTATTAACCTAAAACCTGTATAAATAATCACTACCACTAGAAAATGCTGTTGTCAGGAAAAACAGCACCATCTAACAGAAGATGCAACGACAATCTCATGACTAAAGGAAGTTTATGGTAACAAGGCACATACAAGTCAACATCAGAGTTTAAACAGGACAAAGAGTATATTAAAGAGTAATATTATGCTGAAGCCATAATGCTTACGGTACAACTCTGGATGATACCTAGCAGCAGATTTTGGAAGAGCATAAAGAATGTATGCTGTGCCCTCGGACCATGTCATATCTTGATAAAAAACAATATGGAACTATGAGATGTCACCATATTTGCTAAAAGTGTTCTTCCAACTCCTCGTCAACTTTTACATCAGAAAGCGAACATAAGAAAAATGGAAACAAAAAGAAAATGATAAGAGTTACTTACTGAAGAACGTGACAAGAAATACCTACTAGCCCAGAATTCGAATTATACGGGGCAGTTTAGAGCAGATATATCCATATCAGATACAACTTCATTGTGAACTAAACAGTTCATCTACCTCTCGAATCTCTGACAATGCATTTTCTTTCCCCTCAATTCCCTCAGATTCGGCATTCAGTTCATCCAATTTACCATGACTACCTTTTACTTGATGCTTCTCGTTACTAGCTTCTTTACTTGCTCAAGAGAGGGAGCTGCAAGGGCATCATTTGCCCACAGTTTGGACTTGCTATGCGGCTGCATGACCTGGAGGAACTCCTGAAATTGAGGGTCTTCATACCCATCATCTTTCTTGCTTTTCGTGATCTCTCCTTTTGCTATTGCAACTTTAGAAACTTTAGGACCAGGTATACTTTCTTTTCCTCTTCAGAGGAACTTCCCTGTTTCTTCATTGAGTACCAACTCCATGGAAGTGGATGTTTGAATATCCAACCTTCCAAGCAATCTGAATTTAGACAAAGGTTGATTTTTCCGTGATAAGTGTACTTTATAGCATACTATAAGCTGATTGCAAATACAATTCGCTGCTCAACGAATGTCCAGGAAAGCTCAGTTTATCTAGGTCCATAGATTCCTTTCTTAGGGTCTCAATTACTATATCTTCCTTATGCAAGTATTTTATTACACTCAAACCAATCCTATGAAGTACCTGCCTAGAAATAATAATAATAATAATAATAATAACAGTAGTGTTAGATATTTTTCATCATTTTGTATGTATTTATTTCTGTTTTGCAAATGATTTGCTGCCTCGACTAGTGCTTGCCGTTGCGCAACTGGTGCCTCAATTTCTATAAATTCTGGGCGAATTCTAGTTTACAAAACACATTAAAAGTTTATTCTTCTTTCTTTCTCTTGGCATTAATCAGTTATTTTCGAGTGTCTTCTTGGTTTGATCAAATAGTCACAATTTGAATCAAACGTCTCCATTGTATCCTAAGAGAGATTTTCTATCATACCCCAAATTGTGACTTTGTTGGATAGGGGAGAAACATCTCTTAAAAGATAACGTTTTTTCGTGCTTTGGAATTCATTAAATATTCAGATTTCCCAACATTTTTCTCAACAAGTAGTAATAGTAATAGCAAAGCCTTGAAGCAGAAAAGCAAATAAAGACCTCACAAATCATTCTGAAACCACTAAAGACTTCTTGAAGCAGTTAATGGCTTGCTCTGCTTCTTGCTCTGTCCTGTATCCAACAAATCCAAAATGCCTGCTCTTCCAGTCCAAAATTGAATTGTTTTCTGTTGCTCAAATGATGGAATAAAGAAATAAGTTAATCACATATAAAAAAAGGGTACCGAAAGGGGGATGCATGGTGCGCGTGAGCTAGGCATCAGTAACTTTGCCTTTCTGGGGGAAGAACTCTCTTAGGTGGTCCTCTGATACATATCTTGGCAAGTTCAAGTTCTTCTCGCATATTTGCGACCTTCATTTCCAAAATTAACCACAAACGTCACTTATTAAAATAAACTTAAAATCAGCAACGAATTGCGGGGGGCAAATCAAGCACTCATATAATTTCTGTGCCTTTTTGTTTATCAGAATCAAGCATACATGCCATTGTCCCAGAGTAGGCCATCCGCGACGCTACGACGGAGATACGTACTAATATGTAATTTGAGATATTTTCAGGCGCGAGGGTTTTGAACAACGGTGGCAGGAGATTTGCCCGGTCCTGGCGCAGTTTTACGTTCTGTCTATATTTAATTTTTTCACGAATAGTCCCTCGCCTATGGACTCCCTGCGTAATTCATCCTCATTCTTAACACTTGCATCCTCACCTGTGATGTATGTAAGAGTATCCACCTGCCCCCAGGGCATATCTCCCAGTGGCAAAGGGGAGGGCGGATAGGGTTCAGCGCGGCAGTGTGCAGAGTTCGATTCCCCGCAAGGTGGAATTGATTTTGTTGCAAACGGGAATTACCATATGGGTTAACAGCCTTGACCTATCCATGTGCTCTCCACCCTGGCTCTTGGGAGGCACATCCTGCGATTTACCTCGTCTACGATGGCCCAGGGCAGGGTCGGTGGGAGCCCTTAAGGTTGAGGTTCAACCTTTTTTTTGAGTATCCACCTCAATACTCTGCTTTTAGAGGGCAAATTGGTTCAACAACTCTTAAACACAATTCGGCTTTTTTTTTTTTTTTTTTTTTTTTTTTTTTAAATC